TGTGTGTGTGTGTGTGTGTGTGTGTGTGTGTGTGTGTGTGTGTGTGTTTCCCACCCCTGGCTCTCCCTGCGTCTCTCCTTCCTTCCTCGTTCTCTCTGCCCTGGCTCTGGCTCTGTCGCTGCACTGTGTACTCCACGCTACCGGCCGCCCGGCCCTCGGCCCTTGGACAATCTGATTAGGGCGAGGAAGGATTTCCCTAGACGTTTGTTTGGGGACTCTCGGGTCACACGTGCCCGAACAACTGGAACAATAGACGCTGGGCTTAATCCCTTCTTTGCCTTTAAAGTGTGTGGCTAATGACTCAGGGCCCGGGCCGGAGCCTCTGTCTCCCTCCTCCTCCTCTTTCTCACCCGGTTGGGATAGGAGGAAATCCTTTCCTCCGCCTTCTCACCTCCCAAGTCCCAGACCCTGGAGGAGAAACGGGACCTTCCTTCCCGGATTGCGCTTAAGACTTTGGGGAGCCCGTGGGCTTTCTGATCACGACTGGCGCAGGTTTCCAACGTCTGTGCCGGGATTTGGAGCAGAGCTGGGGAGCGCAAACAGACACTAAGACACTTAAAGGTTGATTTAAGTCCAAATGAAAAGTTTAACGAAACCTTTGGCCTCCTCAGTCAGCCCCCAACTCACTCAAGGGCAGAAAGAATGGAGCAAGGAGAAAGCAGGTGGCATTGCAAATAAATTTCCTCCACTCCTTTCCTCCACACGATTCTTTTATTGATGTTCATATTGGACTTGAAGACTCCATGTTGTGCAGGCGCTGCTTCTTCCCCAGACTATTGCCAGGGTCGGGCTGAGTTCCTGACAAGCGAAGGTCTGGACCCCCCCCCCCCCCCACCTTCACTCCTCACCACCACGCCCCCTTGGCTCTCTGAGAGCTGCCCCTGCGGGCCACCGGCGGCCGGCAGCCGGGCCTGCCAGGCTTTGATTCTTATAGGTGATGGTGGGGCTCTGCTCCTCCAGCGGAGAGCTGCCCAGTGGCACAGGGCAGAGAGGGAGATCCTTCCTCGACTGTCCCGCACACAGCCCCCTTATCTCCCTGACGACCACGGTAGGCACAATGGACCTAGCCCAGTCACATTATTGTCCGCTCTTGCAGGTCAAGATCTGGTTCCAGAACAAGCGTTCCAAGTTCAAGAAACTGATGAAGCAGGGCGGGGCGGCTCTGGAGGGTAGCGCACTGGCCAACGGCCGGGCGCTGTCTGCGGCCTCCCCGCCAGTGCCGCCGGGCTGGAACCCCAACACCTCATCCGGGAAGGGCTCGGGCGGCAGCGCGGGCTCCTACATCCCCAGCTATACGTCGTGGTACCCCTCGGCGCACCAAGAAGCTATGCAGCAACCCCAACTCATGTGAGGTTGCCCGCCCGCACCCTCCCGCCTCCTTCCCGTCTCCCCCCGGCCCGGGCCCCTCCCGCCTCCCGGTCCATCCACCCTGTCCGCAAGCCCTGGACCCGGAGAAGGACCCGGGGGGGAAAGAAGAAGGAACAGCGAAGGCAGGACGCCCGCCAACTCCTTGGAGTCCCGCGCGGTCTGGACCGGCGACTTCCCGGCGCCCGCGCGCTCGCCCTCGCCCCGGCCTGGGCCGCGCGGCGACAGCAGACAGCGGCCTCGGAGCGCGGGCACAACTGCCCGAGACAGCCAGAGCGGCAAGACGAGCCAGCTGGACCCGACCTGCCGACCCTCAGCTGTGTGGGACTATCAGGAAAAACAAAAACAATGTAGAAAAAGCAAAAGCTCTTTTCTGTTCTGTCCGTCTCTTGTCTCCTTTCGCTGTGTATCTGTGCGCTGACGAAGTCGAGGTCCTCGTCCGTCCACTGTCCTCAATCTGCGGCCTCTGAAAAAAGTCACCAGGTCGGAAGAGGCACGGGCCGCCGGGTCCCAGCTCCGCATGCTGGGACGTTTTGCCCTTTCGGACCTTCTCCTGGGCCTGCCTCACCATCTGTGTAGTTCGTTCGGGAACTGGGGGGAAACTGGAGGGAGGGGTTCTTATTTATTGAGAAATGGACTTCGCCTGAGGGTGAATGTTGGCCAATTCGCAGTTCTGTGGGGCGCGAGGAGCGCACGGTCCGAAAGCACCGATTACTTTAAACGCACCCGGAAAAACGAATAAGGAGGACCTGGTGATTTTTAACTTCTACAGTAACTTTTGTACTTCGCTGGTATGGAGAGGTTGGAACCTAATGCTTTGCATTTTTACATGTTCCGTATTATTTTTAAAAGAAAAAAAAAAGAGAAATGAAGCAACACAATTTTCTCATCTCGGGAAAAACACTTTGGTCGCTTTGCCTGGACAAGAAGGAAAATCCTAATTCCCTCCTTGGGAAGCAAGGGAGAGGACCGATGGGCAGTGAAGAAAAAACAGGCAGGCAGAAAGGAGTGCCCTAGAGCCAGCGAGCTTTAAAGTAAGACAAAAGCAGCACTAAGCCCCAGAGGCTCAACCACAGAATAATGCCAGGCAGCACCCTGGACGCCTAGTCTCCAGTGCAGGATCTAATCGCTGTACATATTATTATTGTTGTTAATTATTATTGTTATTATTGTTCTGTAAACATGTTGCACAAGCTTAGCTTTTTTCCGTTCTGTTGTGTGTGGCCGTAAAACCCGATGCTTTGTGAAATGAGAATCTTGACATTTTACTTGTGAAATTTGGAAAATGTGATCAGTTGAAATCAACCGTGTTTTGTGTTCTCTATGTCAAAGTTTAGTTTTATATTGAGAATGTTAACTTATTGATTTGTATCTTGAAAAAAAAGAACTTTGTAAATAAGTTATAAAGTTTCTCTGAGACAGTAAAATTATGGTTTCGAGAAAGAACTGCTGTCTGGTGTGCTGTGTGAGGGGGTTCTGTGGGCTGGGCCAAGCCTCCACCTCTCGGGACACATAGCGGCAGGGGTAGATTCCTGCTCCAGACTACCAGAATCACCGGCAAGGCCCTCCCTAGCCGCTGGGACCGTTTATCTTGCCCTGCTTCTGACCCCCAAGGGGTCTGATCCCTACCTGGGTTAGAGGGTGGGCAGTGACTCTTGGCCAGGGCCTTGGAAGGGGGGGATCAGGAACAGGTGCTGTGTGAAGGGGGGGGGGTTCTGGAACCAAAAGGACTGTGAAGGCTGGTTGAGAGGAGATGAAAGCAGAGCTCAAAGGCAGCCGGCCAGGGAGACTTGAGTGCCCCCCACACCCAGTCACCTCACCGGAAGCCTAGACGACTGAAAGCAGAGACACTGGGGGCTTGGCCCCTCGCCTTCGCGGCGATCTCGCCTTCCGGCTTTTGCTTGCCCGCAGGGCTCCCGATCCCGACGCGGAAAAGACGCGGCCAGACACCGGAAAGGGGCCGGAAGGACACGTCTGTCAGGCTACACCCAGTCAATCACTGAGCTCCGGGGGACAGTCCCAAGGCGCCACCTGGGCCCCTCCACAGCCACTCCCACCCATCGGGCCCATCCTCTACGGGAGGCTTCATCCCGCCTAATCCCCAGCTTCTCTCTGCGCCTCAGATGGAAATTCCAAGGGAGGGGCGGAAAGGGTCCGCTGACTCCTTGGAACCCAGGAGCTGGCCGAAGACACCCACCCCCACCCCCCACTCTAGCCCGAAAGTCCCGAGGCCAGGCCAGTAAGGGGGCGCCTTCAGTGGAACTCTCTGATGAGTTCTTTCCAGGAGAATGTGGACTCTCGAGCAACTAGAACCCGCCTGGCTCTCTCCACCCGGTGGCCCGGCGTCTCGCCCCAAACCCCAATCCCAGACCCTGCAGCTGAGCTCAGGAAGCTCGGTGAAGCTGCGGGCCGGGACGGGCTGCTTGGAGCGGTTCCCGCTTCCCTCGCACTCGCCTTCCGACACTGCTTCCTGCGGGCTGGCCCTCCGCTTTGGGGGGCCCTTTGCAGCGCGCGGTGGGGAGCAAAGCAGGGAAGGCAGTGATCTGTGTTGTGACAAGCACCCATTTTTCAATTGGTGCTGGTGAAAGAGCAGATGCTCCAGGCTCTTCTGACGCCCTTTGGGAAGGGGAGGGGAAGTGGTGGAGGGGCGGTGATGGAGGGAGCTGGGGAAGTAGTGGGGGATGGAGCCCGGGGACCTCGAGGCCCCCACAGGGCTTGGGATTGGAGCTTGTCCTGCCCTGCGGGCCCCCATAACCCGGAGCGCAAATGCGGGAGATAAGATCTCCGAGACCGGGAGCAGACGGGCCTCAAAGCTGGGAGAGAACTGGTTTCCCAGACCGGGTTCCAACGCGGGGTAGGGACCTTCCGGGATTCGGTTTTGCCTGGAGATGTGACTTTGCTAGAGGGGAGTTTTGGCGGATTGCTCTCGCGCATCCGACTCCGGTGCGGCAGCCAGGGCCCAGCGCCTGAAGCCACAGGCAAAAATCTGTTTGGTCAAGCGGATTTTAATATTTCGAGATATTAGCTTATACTAATTTAATAATCTCTTGCTAACAGTTCAAATAGAGAAATTATTAGTTTTAGCTCAACGAAGGCGGTCTTTAGTTAGGCTCTATTATAATTATAAGCAGTTGCACTTTTAAAAAATGTTAATCTCAATATAGGCCTAATTAATGCTGCCTTGTTACTGACAAGTAGTTCATCAAATATCTGATTCAAAGATTTTCATAATGAGTATATTAATTAAACTATGAATAATCTAAAGGTGGTTATATTTAAACAATACCTCATTATAATGATTAAATACTGATTTCGAATATTATGTCTTAACAATTGTCACTTAGAAAACACAACCTTTCCTTATGTATGAGTCTGTAATGGCAAAATGCAATTTTGGGATTTTTTTCCCCCTTGTTCAAAAAATGTGAACCTCATTTTAAAACACTTCTGAAATAGGTTACACACAGCTTAATGATTATCAAAATGACTCTTTTCTGCAAAAAAAGACCCCAAAGTGCGCGTACAGCTGCAAACCCAAGAGGGTCAGCATCATTTCACTGTATTCTCTTCTTGATTACAAGCCGGGCCCATCAAACACAACATAATTACAGTAATTTCAGGTTTATTTATTCTAATGCAGTTTCCCCATCTCTCTGGTAATTATGAGCAATTTTTTCGCCCAGGGAATCTTTTTGCATTAACAAAAGAGATAACGCACTGAAAGCCAAATTTGCTGTGCATTGAGAAAAGGGAAAAAAAAAAAATCAAATAGGTGCGAGCTGCCATCTCTGCAATTCTCTGGTACCGGAGCCGGCAAATTGCTTGCAGGTGTATGGAGCAAGCTTGTCAATGGCCAGGCCTCCAAATTAGCAAATGCACAGCGTCGAAGTAGTGAAGACAGACTTAGCAAAATTGCCAAACAACAGATACCTCTTTAATATCTTCTCTCACACACACTTGCTCTAAAAGGGGCAGGGGTGGAGGGGGGTGGAGGGGCACAAGCAACAATCCCCATTCCCCTTCTCACTGGCCTTGGCTTTCATAAGCCTGGGACTGAGTGATCCTTCAAGTAGTAGTCTCATTGTGGAAGGACCCAGCTTCTCATTCTAGGCAACATTTTTTAAAATATAAGATTTGGAAACGTATTTATCGTTCACAGCTTTCCTTCATTGATTTTTACGTTGCATTTTTCTTTCTTTCTTTTTGGGATCTGAACCTGGGCTGGGTCAGATGGCTCTTCAGCCTTCCCTATTCTGCGCTAATTTTAAGAGCCACAAAAAAGTTTAAAAATTCTCCCATCTATGAGCACAGAAATATGAATTTATTCTTAGAATCATTTAGTGAAAAAATTAACTAAATCTGTCCCCTTGAAGAAATTGCCCATTTCTGTCACCTATGGAAAGGTAGGTCCGGGCGCTGGATATAGAACCTGAGATAGTTGATCCCAAGAAAAATTGAGAGGAAAGAAGCAACTCGGGTCCTAAGCTGTGCATTTTCATCCTGCTATCTACTTCTTTCTGTATCTTTTAACAACCGATTTCAGAATTATCTGGGTTTTGTCAAGCCACCGCCTGGGCTAAACATCCTGAAATCACAGGTTAAAGTGAACTTTTCTGCTCCTCATCCTGCACAAGCCATAGGCACCTCCATCAAATGCAGTACGGAGGGTAAGGGTGTCTCCCTCCCTGACTCAAAGAAACCCTCCTTCTTCAGTCCCCAGCTCCACAGCAGACCCCAACTCCAGTGTAGACAGGCAAACGGCTCTAAAGGGTGCCTTCCCCAGGCTCAAGAAACATGTCACCCACACCCACTCCTTTGCTACCCCCCGCCCTCATCCCCCAACCTTCAGGGATTAACACTTCCTGAAACATCAAGTGTTTTTATAAAAAGAAAAAAAAATAATCCTGACATCGCTGACAAGAAGTTTTGATGGAAGAATTAGCTGGTGCATACATAATCACTCCCCCACCCTCCTACTCCCGGAGCGGGAGCCACCGCGGCGGGCGCATTGCAGCCTTCCAACCCTCTGAAAAATGAAACCAGTTTCCACCCTTACCTTCTTCAGTGTCAATTTCAGATAATCTGGACACAATCTTTGCTAGATCAAATCAAAAGGGTCGAAGGCGGCATTTGTCTGGGAGAATGACAGGAAAGAAAAGGCAAAAAAGAAAAAAAAAGGAAATAAAAAGGAAAAATAGGAAATACAAAACCGACCAAACCAGATCAAAACAAAACCAGAAAACCAAAAAGAAGCCCCCAGCCCCATCCTCCTATCCTGAGAGTAAAGAGTGGAAAGAGGTCTCCAGGACCAGGCGCCTCCGAGCGCCGCAGGCTTTTTGCAGCGCTGCGCTTGCAGAATAGGACTGAAATTTTCGGCTATATAGCCTCTGTCTTTATAGCTGATGAAAAAAATTGCAGATTATTAGCATAAATGTTTACTCTTCATTACGCTGATGACATTGTGCACTCGAGATCTTGGTAATCTTTGGGAAAATTATGAGTAATTTTTAAAAATTTTAAAGCAGCAGCAGTTACCATGCAATTCAGGCTAATTCTGCGTAGGCTCCGAACGGATATAATTATCGAGGAGTCAAGATGTTATGCTAAAAACTATGCATTGATATTCCCATTTATTATGTACATACAACTTTGACAATGTTGATGCTTGAAATAGCAGGAAATTGTCTTGCGCAAAAATTACAGTCCATATTAGGACATCTGAAATTGCGAAGAATTATATAGTAATTGCAGGCTTTCAGATGGGAGAGCCAGAATGCTCAAACTAGTGCAAATGTGGATAAAATTACAGATCAGAGCAAAAATTAGGGAAAAAGGGGGTCTGGGATTTTTCAGGTTGGCTATAGGATTCCGGAAGTGTCTAATGCCACATGATTGCTGCAGCTTTAGGGGAGACATTCATGCCTCAAATAGCGCCTTAGCCAGGGTGGCTTTAATTGAATTTCTTGGGCTTTTTCTTTTAATAGGGGCAAATGAGAAAATTGGCCACCTAAGGCAAATTTTCACTGTTCTCCTCGTGAACATGTCGAGAAGAGAATCCCTTTCCCCGCGTGCCTGCTTTTCCCGGCTTGGATGCCACGGAAGCCCCGTGCCCCCATCCTAAATGTCGCAACTGGCAAGCAAGTGACTGAGCCGGACCTCCCGCACCCCCACCCCGACACTCCTTCCTTTCTTGCGTCCACTTCTACCCTCCTTCCTTAGGCCCCTTTCCCGGAGTCCCCTCCACCTTGCCGCCGGTCGGGGCCCCGGAATTTGAAGGCCGGGCCGGGGGCGGGGGGGGGGGGCGGAGGCGGGGAGTGGAGTGCGGGAATAGCTGTCGGACTGAGGAGTTGGTGTGAAAACGAGTCTGCTGTTTGGAGGCTTTGGGACGAGGAGGGAAGAAGCTGAGGGTCGTTGTGGCCCACCCTGAGACCACCGAGGCCCTTGTT